GGTCGGCTCATGCATATAGGCAGGTTGGGCCTTTGCCTAGGGCACCACCTTGTTAGGGAGCCCCACCAAATAATTGTTTATTATTTATACTTATTATTTATGTTATATATATATATATATATATATATATATATATATATATATATATATACATATATATATATATTACCTTTTTCTTAATAAATTGAAAGGGCTTGTGAATTGTGATAAAAGAAAATGGGGTCTTACTCCATTTAGTATTTCAAAGTCCACCTTGGACTTATCCATGTAGGAAAAGAAAAGAGAATAATTGATGAAACATAGCCTTTTTATATTATCTCCTTAAATTAATGACTGTAAATTTCAATACAAAGCTTTAAAAATCAAATCTCGAAATTTTGTGATTCTCTCTTGTGCTAGCCTTTTTGTTCTTTGAGTTTTTTTAGTTTCTATATTTTATATTATTTGAAAATATAAATTCAAAGCTATATGTCAAATAAATTTCTAAAATGATTTTCTTTTCTTTCTATTTATTTCAGGTGATTATTGGGTGAATAAAGTTTCTATTACGTTGACTTTCAACTTACTATTTACCATGTTCTACCATTTTTTGTCATTGCTCATAATTTTACATATATTATGTCGAGTGGATAAAATATTTGTTTGGATCTAAAAATAAAAAAAATAGAATAAGATAGTAAATCTCAAAGTGTTGCAGAAAAATCAATGCATTTTCATCTATTAAAACACGACTAATAAATTTTAAATAAATCCCTTTTGAAAATAAAGGGCCCCATTTTTTTTCGCCTAGGGCCCCCAATAACCTACAGCCGGCCATGTGTACATTTAATTTTAAGGAGGATTAAGATGTACACTAGAGCACATTTTCACTGGGGGCTGATAAAAGAGGATCCTAGCTTTAGTGAGTGAATAAATTGATGAGGTGGCATGTGGACCCGATATTTTAGGGAATTATTTAGGGGTTTACGAATAGAGATGCTCTAGAGGCTTTCTAGTTGTGGGGAATAATTTAAGGAATTCATAAAATTAGAGGACTTTTAGGGAGCTACTAGTCATCCACTAGAGCATATAATTTCCGTAAAATTTGAGGAGCTGATACTAAAACGGTTATTGGGAGCTCCACTATAGATGCTCTTAGGGAGGAGAGAGATAGAGATTGGTGGGCCTCTATCATTATTATATTATTGGGGTTATTAGGGAAAACCTCCTCATATCCATTGTATCATTAGACTAGATTCTTTTTTTCCTAAGAACTAACATGAGATTTGAAGTAATAAACAAACAAGACAAGATAAAAGGCAAATTATGTACACCTTTTTTTTGGTTTTCTTTTTACTCTTTATTTATACAACTAGCATTTTTCCCCCGTGCGATGCACGGGATATTATTTTAATAGTGAAAAAAATAATCAATTTAATACATAATAAGAGAATATAGTACACTAAGGCCTCTTTTGGTTTGATGTATGGGATAGATAAATTTATTGGGATTATATAATTTTACACTATTCATGATTATATAGTAGCCAAAATTGTGAATTTGGTTTGTAGGATTTACTACTAAGGATAACTCTATGTGACTTTTAGTTTGGATGATAAGGACTGATAACATCTGCAATGAAAAAATCACCCTTTCCATTTATGTACTGGTGGTTTCATACTTGGATTTCATTTTACCTCTGTTTTTACGGAAAAAGAAAAAAAAACAATACACAGATAATTTCTTTTTTTAAACAATGAAAAACTAAATTATGTTAATATAATGCATTAAGCTAATGGACAACTGAGACTGCCGCCAACAGATTACAAGTCATTATGAATCCAACTACTAGCAATGGTTTTTGCCTCTGAAATGAACCAAACCAAAAAATGACCACAAATTCATCCAAACTGGAAAGATAGAGAACAATAGTGAACCATTTTTAATGTTCATCTGGCTACACATTTAGATAACAACATTAAGGAAGGGCAAAATACAAGACAATCCACATCATTAAAGCTAGACAGATTGAAGTTTTAACAGATACATAAAAATAGCAGCTTTCGATCCAACAATACAAATTAACTAAAAAGGAGTTTAATAATATAACATTCTTGAATAATTTCACAAAGTTGACTTGTTTAGAAATGAATCTATGCATAAATGCTCAAGGGTTTTGCCTGGTTCAACAAAACAAGTCCACGCTCAGCGGTTGGCAAACCGGTGATCAATTTCCTGAAATACAAAATTTTTGCAATCTAATTTAATTTGGAAAAATCCTAAAAGAAATTTTATGAATCGTGTTTTGCTTTTGTATTGTATTATATTAATATCTAGGTAAGTAATTACCTTTCAGCACCATTGTGCTTGGTTTCATAAGAATATCTTTTAGCAGACTTTTTAAACTCACAGCATCGCCATAGTCGACCAAAACATGTCAACAAACACAGAGGATCACATATGTAATAATAACTTAATTATTTATTAACCTTAAACAATGTGAGTATTTTTTTACCTGAAGGGTTCATCACCAGCTTGTTTAAGAGCAACCGTTGCATCACGATAAAACACGTGGCTCATAATCTCCGAACTTTCAATTCCAAACATATGTCCAAGCCTCTTGAAAGAATCTTCGTACGACCCAAGAGAAGACAAATTAAGAGTCTGGCCTACATCTTCGGAATCCAAGAACACTTTGCAGTGACCAGTGTCCAACCCAATTTCAGACGAATGATAACCCGATTTCCTAAAAAACTAGGCACCATAACAATCCAATGAATGCATGGACCTGTAGATTTTGCATGCCCAATTTCATTGTTTTGCACCCATTCCCAAACATGAGCAGCAACTTTAATAATTCGAGAAGGACTCTTGAAAATTATCAAGAAACTCACCCGAGAACAGATTTTTCCTTCGAGCTGCATGAAAAGAATACCAAAGACAAAATTGTTAGAAGTAGAACTAATAATTTCCCAAATTTGAAACAAGATTAGCATGTAAAAAACAAAAGATATAAATATATTCCTTTTCAGATTCCACTAACAGGTTAATATCCAAACGGGCAATAGATATATGAAATAATAATAATATAAATTAAAAAAAGCAAGGAATCTACCCAAAAAAAATGTGAAGATTTAAAGTATGTATACAAATACACGCAACAAATTCTTCTAACATCAAAGTGCCTTTTTGAAGAGTTACAAGAAATTTAAGTATAAAAAGGGGCGGAGGAAAAATAATTTTGAGAAATACGACAAATTCTTCCTCGTTCTCTTGCAAGGACTGACTGCGATATTGAGCAGAGGTCTGAAAAGTTCGAATTAAATTCACAAGATTTCGAATTCAATTTCCAAAAATTGTTCCAATTAGATGTGTAATCGATTTCATTGAAAGAAGAATCAAAGAAAAATACTTACCCATAACTTTCAGATATTTTAAGATCTACCCGTCGTTTGTTCGGAGGATGTTGCTGCAGTCGCGCCAGAGAAAGGGGTTCGTCGGAGACCCACTGGTGAAGATGAGGAGCAGAAATTTGTGAAAGTGAGAAAACGGGAGCATATACGTCTTTTTTACACCCAATTTTGTGTAAAGAATGATACATCTCTGACCCTTTTGGTCATTTCATCTTCACCTGTTATACTGATTGTACAATCCTACCTCAGAGCGTGAGATAATTTATCACCCATATGCATGATTCGGTACCGGGCCCTCAATCAATACCGGGTTTATGTCCCACATACCAAACGTCTGATTAAGGGTGACTATTCTGTCTATCACCCCTTATCCGCCAAACCAAAAGAGCCCTAATATAATAAAATTTAATAATGTAGTATTATTCATATTGAATTTCTAGCTTTATCTCTTAAGATTTGAGATGTATTGATGAAAATTAGGAGATCAATAATTGTTGAAAATTATAGTTAAAAAATTAGTAAAAAATATTAAAAATAAATAATTGCATAAGTAGCAATAAGGTAGGATTCTTCACGGCTTAGTTTTAATTTTGATAATTGTTAAAAATTATAGTTAAAAATTAGTAGAGAAAAAATATTAAAAATACATAATTACAGAAATACTAAGGTTAGGTATACCATTATTTTTGTGGTACGATAAAATCAGTACGTGATATTCTACCGTACTTGTGATGCTTTGAAGATTAAAGAAATAAATGGTCAAATAGTATGTAAATCTCAATCGGCAATAGTTTTCCAATTAATTAATTTTCTAAAAAGGCATAGGTGTATAATCGTGAACAATTCACATAATTTGTTATAATTTGCATAATAGAAATAAGAACATATTATACCAAAATTGGAAATAGAAAACTTACGCAGGAAGAAAAACCATCACCGAGACAATAGTACCAAATAAAAAACTATAGATTAGTTAAAAATCAACCAAAAAATAAAAGGAAATAAACTACTGATTTTCTAATATCCCAAACAAAGAAACTAGATGACCTCCATTCTTATGGGTATGTGAATTAACATGTAAAAATATTCAAAATAAATACTAAAAATGTAAAACCAAAAAAAAGTATACATATATATAGTGATCAATCAATGAATTCTTTTTAATGAGATAAAATATTTATACAAACTAAATAAAAACTGCCAAGAAAAATATGAAAACAAATTTAATAAGATAAAAATATTTATATAAACTAAATAAAAACTGCCAAAAGAAATATGAACAAATTTAATAAGATAAACATATTTATACAAACTAAATAAAAACTGCTAAGAAAATATGAAAACAAATTTAAAGTTTACATCTTTCACATATAAGTATAAATTTTAAATAAAAGTGGAAAAGTACCACATCCTATTAAAATTTGAAATAAATTGATAAAAAAAATGTCTATAATACCCTTAATTATTAATCTAATCATTTAACAGCTACTATATTTATATTCCACCACCATCGATCGTATTATCATCGTTCCAAAAACTGTTCTTACCAAAAACAAAAATTCTTCACACCAATCTTTAAATCTTTAAAATTGTAGGTTATCTTTTTCCTGTTCTAGATTTTTAATGGGCCAAAATAATTGCACAAAAATATTATATATCCTTTTTTTTAGAAAAAAAAAGATAAAAGGCAGATTATGTACAACTTTTTTTGGTTTTCTTTACTCTTTGTTTATACAACTAGCATTTTTCCCCCGTGCGATGCACGAGATATTATTTAAATAGTGAAAAAAATAATCAATTTAATACATAATAAGAAAATATAGTACACTAATATAATAAAATTTAATAATGTAGTATTATTCATATTGAATTTCTAACTTTATCTCTTAAGATTTGAGATATATTGATGAAAAATTAGGAGATCAATAATTGTTGATAATTATAGTTAAAATATTAGTACCGAAAAAATATTAAAAATAAATAATTACATAAGTAGCAATAAGGTAGGATTCTTCACGGGTTAGTTTTAATTTTGATAATTGTTAAAAATTATAGTTACAAATTAGTAGAGAAAAAAAATATTAAAAATAAATAATTACAGAAATACCATTAAGATTTTTTAGGATTGTCCAGCTTTTCTATCTTTTATATATAAGATACACAGTATTTGGCCCCTAAAAAATTAACATAGTCATTTATATATATGCATTACTTCTAAGTTTAAAACATTTCAATAAACATATGGAGTCATATAATATTTTAGTTTCTACTTATTTTATATAAGAAAAATTTAAAAATTAAAAAAAAATACTTGTTTATTGTTGGTTTTACAAATATCAAACCCCCACCTTCACCCCAACTTTCGTAAATTGGCAGTAGCATTAGTTCAACTATATATATATATATATATATATATATATATATATCTTGAAGCATTAACATTAAATGTTAAAACTCATGGTTATAATTACATACCTGGTACTGAAATTATGTGTATTTGCTATCGTTTATATTATAAACCTTTATTTACACTTAATCCCATGTGTAAAAGAATTGAGAAAGATAATAATGAAACTATCTTAATTGAAACAAATTTTAGTAAATCAAACGTTACTACAAGGAGGTCTATTAAATGGGAAGAAATCATTTTTCCTGAAAACTGGATTTTAGAACAATCTGTTCCAAAGATCCCTGTTATCAATAGTAACTTTCAACACATCACTCAAAGTAATGATGGAATCATTAAAATTGGTTCTAATAATTTACTTCGAAGACATTCGACTTCTTATTCTGGATCTAGATCCAGCCACTCCTTCATCTCTCCTTTCGATTATGAGGTAGATCTACCTTGTACCTCTAGAGCATCCACTTCTGCTTATAGAGAGGATACTTTTAAGAATAACAATTATGAGAGAATCATCATTAATGAAAACAACATCATTCATAAAGATGAGATTGATCCCGAAACAATTTCGGATTGTAATTTTAAGATTTGAATGGATTTTAAAACCTTTCTTGATTTCTCAAAGGGTTCTTCAATAAGAGCTCAGATTAATGATGAATTTTATAATCCCAAATGGGATGATTTCAGAAATTGGTATTTTAAATCCTTTTCAAAAACCGATTTAGATTACTTTGTCAACAGTTTTTATAAATTCTGCACTCATCATAATGAAGTTACCTATTATGTTCCTTGGTTCATAAAAACCTTTTATATTGACCATGTTTTGGTTATTGAAAGAGATTTTAAAATTATCTCTGGTGGTATACAAAAATCTGTTCACCCTCCTCATGTTCCTTTTCAAATTGAGAAAAATGGTAGAGTTTTTAGTTTTCTTCCATTCTCTAAAATTGTTGAAAATGATGTTCTTCAAGTTACGGTTAAACAAATCAATTTAATGATTGAGCAAAATAATTTTTGCAATCTTTATCTTTCAATTATAGGTGAGGAGATTATATCTTTACATGATAAAATTGAAAAATTTTTATCACAAACTAAGACTCAGACTAAGTCTGATTTACTCGATAAAAGTACAATTGTTAAGACTGCCTCTTCTATACAGTCTCCTATTGAATTAGACAATTTCAAAATTGAACCCTCTGTTTCTGATTTTGAAAAAATTATTTCAAATAAATTCAGCAAATTAAATATTTCTACTTTAGATAATGATTTTGAAGATAGTCCTAGCACTAGCTCTACGAAGTATGATAATACTGATAGTATTAATAAAATGAGATGGGCAGATAAGCCCAATCTTTCTAAATTCTATTATAATAGACCTACTCCAATGGATGTCCTTCATGAAGAAAACGAAAACTTCTTCAATACTTCCTATTCAGGAAAGAGCATCTATGAATGGAATATTGATGGCGGTAGTGATAAACATATTATTACTCAATGCCATCGCATGCTTATGTATGGTTCTGCTTGCAGAATTAGTGGTAACAATGATTTACAAACTGCTCAAGCCATTACGGTTGGGTTTACCGGCCAGCTTAAAGGTTGGTGGGATAATTATTTAAATAATTTAAATAAACAAGAAATTTTCAATTCTATTAAAATTGAAGATGGTGAAACTAAACCTAATGCGGTTTACTCTCTTGTTCTTACCATTCTCGAACATTTTACTGGTAGATTTACTAATAAATCTGAAAACACCAAAACTCTTCTTTTAAATATGAAGTGTAAAACCCTTTCTGATTTTAGATGGTACAAAGATACTTTTCTATCACGCATTTTCGATATTCCTGAATGCAATCAGGATATTTGGAAAAACAAGTTTGTTGATGGTCTTCCTTACTTGTTTGCTGAAAGGATCAAAAAGGTCCTTAGAAAAGACTCAGATCAAATTGCATATGAGGCTTTTACTTTTGGCCAAATTGTCAGTACTTGTATTCAAGAAGGACTAAGTCTTTGTAATGAAATCAAGTTAAGAAATCAGATCCGTAAGGATAATCTGCTTGAAAGAAAACAGTTAGGTCATTTCTGTGACCAGTTTGGCCTAGACAATCCTGGCAAAAAAGATTCTCATAAAAATAAAAGAGAATTTAATCATAAACCTAATTATAGGAAAAGGAGAAGACATTATGATAATAGTAAACAGATTAAAGAAAAGCAAGATAACGACAAAGGTAGAAATCGTTATCACAGAAAAAAGTCCTATAAAAGGGATAGTAATTTTCTCAGCAAAATTATTTGCAGAAAATGTGGTAGAACAGGTCACTATGCTAATCAATGTTATGCTAAAGATAAGATTAAAAATCTTGATATTGATGATGATTTAAAGGAAACCCTTTATAAAATTGTCATGAAATCTGAGGATGATACAGATTCTAATAGATCTGATTCCTCCCAAGAATCGGATTTTTCCGATGATATCTCTACTAAGAGTGATGAATGCAATAATTGTGCTCTTGGTAAACCATGTCTTAATTGCATCAAAGATACAGATAATCCTGTTGAAGATGAATATTATAAACTCATGAGTCAGTTCCAAGACCTGAATATAAATGTGTTAACTAATAATAATATTCTTGACTTTCTTAAACAGATTAAGGATCCTAGTTTAAGAGATAAGGTCATTGACCAGTTACATGATTCTGGTCCATCTACTAGTAATACCAGTCTCTCTAGTAAGATTGATAATAATTATTACAACATGGGAGAATTAGATAACCTTCTTAAACTTAGGAATATCAAGAATAGTCCTATAA